GGGAGCCGAGGCCAAGGGGGAGGGAAGGAAATGCGCACGGCCCAACCACTTGCTGCTGCCGCCGCCGCCGCAGCTGCCCCGGCTCCCGCCGGCCGCACCCACCTGCCACCCAGAGGGTCCGCCTCCGGCCTGCGCCGGACGCACCCTCACTCCCACCCACACCCACCCGCGCTCATCCTGCGCTCGCGCCGCGGGGCTGCTGCAGCCTTTGGGTCACGGAAAGGTGCCCAGCCCCAATTCTTTGAAATAGGTCCCTCGAGCTAGGAGAGACCCGGCGGTCAGCGCGCACGGGAGCTAACGGCCGGCAACCTAAAAGTCTGTACCCCGCCAGCCGAGCTGGGGCTGGACAGCAGCGCAGGAGAAGCACCGTGGACCCTCGCCCCCTTCTGGTCCTGCCAAGAGAGGACCCTGGCAACCTTTAACGAAGGGAGAGCCGAGTTTTAAACTTTCCTCCCGCAGGGAGGAGGGATGGTAGCAGGAGGAGGGGCTTTGGGTGACTTGGGGGGAAAAGTCTAAGCCGCAGGGCTTCGGGGAAGGACGAAGCAGAGCGAAGTCACCACTCGCGTGGGCTTCCTGACGCTGACATTGCGCTGCCGCCCAGACTCCTGGAAGGCAGGGGCAGGGGAAGGGCGGGGTGGCCGCGGGGGTGCTTTCCCAGCACCGTGGTGGGAGCGAGCGTGAGCACGAGTTTACCTCGGAAGTATCCGGAATCCAGAAAGAAAACTGGTGGGGGGCCCAGAGAGCGTGGCTAAGGTTACAATCAGTGTCCAACTCACCTTGACTCATGAGCTTTATTAGCTGGTAGAACGCAGAATCCCAATCTTCCAAAGAAATACCCTAATAAAATCTTATTGTTTTTGGTAACTTATAAGACAGATTTAGAGCTATTTTTTTTAAAAGGATGATTTGCTTTTGTAAAATGATTTTTCTTAATAGTGTACCCTTCCTTCGGAAGAATTCTTATGTGGTGAAAAGTGTTCTTATACCTGAAACGATTATAATAGGTTTTTTCCCCCCAGGGAAAGAACCAGAGCAATGTCGCTTTCCAGTGAGTCAGTTTCAGTATTAGACAACTAATTTTATCAGTAAGGTAGGGATATTTGACATCCTCCTGCCAAATAAACCAAGGAAAATGTCTAAATGTGCTTGCAAAGGCTGTATGTATTTCGGTCATTACTTACTTCAACACACAATGTAATGCGTTGCCAGTGTGCAAGTGTGTTTATGTACACACTTTTGAATTATTAAAGCATCTGTGATTAATAGACCCTAGGACTTCTTTTATGAACTCCTCTTGGAAATAAACTTCAAATTCTGGAGAAAAGGAGCTCTGTCTTCTAAAATAAATGGTGTTTTCAAGGGTGTTTCTTCCACTTTAAAAGCACCTTACAGTAAATGTTCTTAAATTGCAGATGATGTCAAATTAAAAGCTTCTTGTATGCTGAATTTACACCTTTTATACACAAGCTTAAAGGTATTAAATTTTTTAGATTCTACTACACTGTGCAATATAAAAAGTCTGAGTCTTGAGAAATCCGGTCAGCTTAACAAATCTATTCCACTGGTCAACCCTTGACACCTGAAATGTACTATTAAAAATATATTCTTTGTGTCTAGTAATGTTGGTGCTAGATGTCAGATAGCCTCCTTCTCTTTGGATGGTGAATGACTAGAAAGGGAAAAGTTCCAGGGGAGCTGATAATCATCTGTTTCTTGCTGCGGGTACTAGTAAAATGGGTGAGGTTCATGGAGTCTTGAGAAAATTGATGGAGTTACACATTGAGCACTCCTTTGTATTTTATACTTAAATACTTTAAAGTATTTCTAAATGTATTACCCTTTTTTTTTTTTTTAGTCTGTTTCCCTATAGAGAAACAGATGATAGCAGAGGTAATTAAAATCTATAGATAGTTTTATCCAACAGGCTTACTTATTTTTCAGGCCTCTAAAACTTTTCCAAAGCTGCTAATTAAGAGTTGGTGTATTGTAATTTTCTTTTTTTGTTATTGGCCTCATTTATAGCTGTGAGATTCATTTTCTGCTTATCAGAAACACAAATTCATGGAACATTGCCCCCAACCTTTCAGGTTATGCCAAATAACACTCTTGAGTATTTGAGCTTTGAATTTTTGGATTTTGTAACTCTAGCTTGCATCCTTCAAACACTTGCTTACAATAAATCTTTAGTTATACCTGATCGAGTGGATCTGTATGTAACTAAGCACATGGTGGATGATTCAGAGCCATTGATTTCAGATTGGTTTAAAAAAATAAAGTGAGAACATTGAAAACAATCTAGCAGTTCCTCAAAACCATAGAGTTATTATTTGATCCAGTAATTTCACTCCTAGGCATATACCCAAGAAAAATAAAATCATATGTCCATACAAAAACTTGTATACAAATAGCAACACTCACAATAGCTGAAAAGTAGAAGCAATCAAATTGCAAATGAATGGATAAACAATGTGGTAATCCATGAAATGGAATATTTTTGGCAATAAAAAGGAATGAAGTACTGATACATGCTACAACATGAATGAATCTTGAAAACATTGCGCTAATGCTAAGCCAAATAAGTCAGACGGGAAAGGACAAGAGCCATATGATTTCACTCATATGTGGGATATAAAATAAAGCAGCAAATGAACAAACAAAACTAACAAGATCATAGACACAGACGACAGTATTGTGGTTACCAAATGGGAAGGGGGTGCGGAGGGAGGATGAAGAAGGTAAAAGAGGTCAAATATATTGTGACGAAAGTAGACTAGACTTTGGATGGTGAGCACACAATGCAATATACAGATGATATAGAATTGTACACCTGAAACTTACATTATGTTATTAACTAATGTCACCTCAATAGATTTAATTAAGAAAAGAAAACATTATGCTAAGCGAAAGAAGCCAAGCCCAAAAGACCACATATTTTGTGATCCCACTTATGCGAAATCTCCAGCATAGACAAATCAACAGAGACAGAAAGTAGGTTAATGGTTGTTTATGGTTAGGGGGATGGGGAGATTAAATAGGCTGAAAGTGATAGCTAAAGGGTGTGGAGTTACTTTCTGAGGTGATAAAATGTTCTAAAATCAATTGTGATGATTGCACAATTCTGTGAATATACTAAAAACCACTGAATTGTACACTTTAAATGAATGAATTGTATCTCAGTAAAGATACATGTGAATTATATCTCAATAAAGCCTTACCCAAAAAATTAAAAATAAAGTACGAAGAACATGTGGAAAAATGGACCCAAGCATTTCATCAATGTAGGTGAAAGCTCAAGAAAACAATTGTTGTAGTGTATTGTTTCGTGGAACCCAACTGCCAGCTTTCCTCAAGATCAAAGCCAAATAAATTCCAAGGAGAAATTTCTACCAGCTCTTCCCCTCCCTATATCTCATTTTCTTCTCCCCACAATCAAAGCCTTTACTGCTTAGGAGTTTGGGCTCTTTTACTCAGGTTTCACTGGACACCTTTAAACAAGCTCCTCAGTTCTCCTACTCTCTAAGGAGACCCAACCTGTCAGCTAATTACAGGAGGTTATTCCCTGTTAGAGTGGGAGCTGCTGCTGAAATTCCTTAAAATGTGTTCCCTGACACCTGCCTCTAATTCTTAAATTTTAGAAAGTAAGGAGTTTCTCTGAGTAGAGCACAGTGGACTCGAGAAGTCCTCATTTAATAGAATGGCCTTAAAGTAACTTCTCAAAGTGTGGTCCATGGACTACAGAAGTATTTGGAGAGCATGTCAAAATGCAGGTTCGTGGGCTTCTCCTAGATGTACAGAATCTGGATAAGAGGCCTGGGGACCCGCATTTTAACAAATTCCTAAAAGCAATAGTGGATGGTACCATTCGAACTCCAGAATTTTTATTTGGGAATTTTTATGTAGAAAGGGACTAGGAATAGCAAATTAGCTGGAAAGGGAAAGCAGAGGATTTGGCTTGAAAACAAATTTAGATGTAAATATGCTAGGGGGGAGGGACTTTGCTGGACCCCAGCCAGGCACTGCTGCCCAGGTGTTTTATGTACAGGAAGGGTTTAGATCACTGGATTCTAATGGAAGGGGCATCATATTAGAAGCCAAACATTCCAGGTTGTAGCCCCTCCTCCACTTAGTGATCTTGAGCCAGTTCCAAGCTTCTCTAGCCTCACTAGCTTCATCTGTCAAGCGCAAGTTTGTGATGTTTTAACTGCCTGAGGCTGGACCATGCAATCAGTTGGGGTCTCTGAGGCCTGAAATTTTGAAGTTCAGCTGTTCTCATTGCCATGGTTTCTTAGATGACCAGCACGAGAGCAGGAACCAAGAAAAGCAGGTGAATTTGGGTGTGGAATTGTTAAACTTGCAGACCCAGAGACCAAATTGGGTGTCCCTGCTTTGTGCTTTATAGTTTTCACCAAACCACATTGTTGTTGCCTGATTTCTTGTCTAGATTTCTGTCTAGATTCTGCAGGCAGGAGACACTCCATAAATGGTAGCTTGTATTTTTTTGTGGCATGGTCAAGACAGGACCTTTTTTGAACCTCTTGAAGGCTCTTGTTTCTGTTCAGCCCTGACATTGATTGCTGATGAAAGCATGTACTTTGTTCTACAAAATAAAGAGCTGGCCATGTATGCC